ACACACACACAAACACACACACACACACACACATACACACACACGCACGCTCAAACACGAACACACCGAAAAAAAAACCTCACAAACTCAAAACTTGTGCCCAAGCTAAAAGTAGGTAGTGAATAACATTGAAAACTTACCCTAACCAGTGAGCGTAAACTGTCATTATATCATTGGCCCAAACCACCCGGAGTCGAGCACACCCCGTTTGTGAATCGAATCATGGTCATTCACACCATTGCCCAGCATGATACCACCTGGGCTAACGGCGCGCACTGCCCCACCCCATATCCGAGTTTAGGTCGCGTTCGCCTGTCTTGGAAATGTTTTGTGAAGTAAAAAGTATAATATCATTTACCCCATAATAAAATTTCTCTTCACGTAGATTATTCTATTGTATGCCTGGGGTGTGGTACACTAAGATATTACACTTTTTTAGAATTCAGATAATGAGTTAAGAACATGTGCGAAAACACACAGATATTCACTTATACACTCACACGCACACACACACGTATACACACACACACACACACACACGCACACACACACGCACACACACGCACACACACATACACACACACACTCACACACACACAGGCACACACACATACACACACACACTCACACACACACACAGGCACGCGCTGGGTATTAAAAGTTTCTGTAATGGCGTTGTAAACCTCTGCAAAAAATGCTCACCACGACCAGCTCGCCCTAACCCTAGGCCTTCTCAGTCCACTCAGAAAGCCTAGCCCTAACCCTAACTGAACACCTCTCCAGTCACTCCACAACCACCCCCACCTACACTCAACTTTTTTTATGTGGTTGTTTTACGCACCCATCGACACAGTTTAGATCATTTAGGAGGCGGGCTTCCGCCCTGTCTGTCAGGGCCAACCTGGGTTTAGGAGGATATTAAATAACGATGCAGCAAAAAGACCGAGATATTCGCTACTCTAAACATTTCCCCACGCGGGAATCGAAATAGTGTCTTCTGCGTGCGACGGCGAAACGCCTTACTGTTTCACCACAAACACTGGTAGTCTACACCCGATGATCAAGAGATTAAATAACGGGGTATAGTATGCGTTGTAAGCAACGTTACTACGTACCCTGTACTGTAAGTAGGTCTTTACCCTGCCATTAAGTCTTGCTCTTGGGCTTGGCTACTCCGTAGGTTAACCGATGCAAAGAATGTCAGTTGTGGAGCATTGGTCAGTTCAAGTCAGGTTCACCTCTACTTGGTATAGTTGATGTTAACTGTTTGAAGTTATAAAAATGATAATAGGCCTATGTGGTTTGTTTTGGTTGTTTTTGAGCCACTTTGAATTTTTAAAATAAAGTGTAGGTACCCCATCCTCTCACGCTTCCTCGCTCACTTGTTTTTCTTATTCTTTATCCCTCTCGCTCTCTCTCTCTCTCTCTCTCTCTCTCTCTCTCTCTCTCTCTCTCTCTCTC